TTATACTACTGTTTTTGCAATAAAAAATTAATTAAAATGAAAAAATAAAAATTCATTTATATAGTTTAAGACTCAATTTAACAAACCCAACAACTCTTAGATCGATATCTTTTATAGTTTTCTTGGAAAAAATTCGCGAAAATAGCCTTTTTTTTAGGTGCTCAGAGTAGAAGGTCCCCTTAATAATATAATACTATTAGTATACAATAATATAATACTAATAATATACAATAATATACAATACTATTATATAATATAATATAATACTATAAATATATAATAATATAATACTATTAATATACAATAATATAATACTATTAATATACAACAATATATAATACTGTTATATAATATAATATATATAATACTATTATAAAATATAATATATATAATAGTATTAATATATAATAATATAATACTATAAATATACATATATTAATAGTATTATATTATATTACATATATTAATGTACTATTAATACTATTAATAATAGTAGTATATTACTACAATATTATTATATACTATAGTATACTATTAGTATACTACTTACTTATAGTATACTATATAATATTATTATTATATTACTATATATATATATATATATATATATATTAAGTAATTATAATTAAATAATATTAATTATTAGAGAGTGACAAAGGTATTTTCTAATGAAAAAAGGAATGTAAAAAAGAAATTACAAAAATTAATAAAATAATTAGAAATGATTACATCGTATAATATATATACGTAAATATAACAAAAAGGAAATAAAAATATTATTTTATAGAAATATATTATGCATCTATATATCCATCTATGTAATGTGTTATATATAATAAAAGTAAAAAAAATTTATCCATGATACAGAACAATTTATTTATGTATATGTATTATATATATATATATATATATATATATATAGATCGTTATAATGTTAAAGTATATGTATTTACATAGAAGGATATGTCAGAGGATTAGATTCACGTTTAGTTGAGAGAGGTTGTTGCATCGTTGGTTGGTGAACGCATAATGCAATTGTTATGCTGTCTAATCGGAAACTAGGAACAATGAGAAGACATTTGCATACATTCGTCGACTAATGATTGACATGGTTAACGTATTCACAAATTTTACATAAAACACATACACATATTCTTATTTATCATATTTCATTCATTTAATAGTCTAATCATATATATATATATATATATATATATATATATTTTTTTTTTTTCATTTAAATAAATCACTTTTATTTCAAACATGCGCGTATGTACATAAGAAAATGAGGAAAAAAAAAATATATATATATAATAAAAAAAAGAAGATAGAAAAAAAAATAATCAAATCGTAATATATAATAATAATAATAAAATTGTATTTTTTTATTAATTCCTATTATTTGTGGTGGTAATCCATTTTAAAACGTTTAATTTTTCGGTAGACTTTTTACGATTACGACTTTAAACGAAGGTTATATATCTACTTACTTTTGCTTTTTTTTTCTTTTCTTTTATTATTATTATTATTATTCTTTTGGCATCGTTAAAACGTTATTTGCCATTAAACTAAAGAATAAAAACTAAAAACCAAACAAAATAAAACACACAGTAACAAAAGATCTTAAACCGAAAGAAAAAAAAGGATCATTGCATAAGTTATAAAATAAAAAAAAAAATAGAAATTCATACAAAATAGTATTGGTATTATTTATTAATATAAAATAGTATAGACTACTATATATTATAAAAAAAAATAAAATATAAAAATTAACTTGAAATACTACTAATTAATTAGTATTACTACAATTTCGCTATATACTATAAAAAAAATAATAATAGAAATACTATACTATATACTATTAAAAAAAAAAAAAATTAAAAATTAACATATATAATACTATTAATTAAATAATAATACTACTACTACTACTACTATGTTATATACCATAAAAAATAATTAAAATACTATACTATATATTACCAAAAAAAAAAAAAAATAAAAGTTAAAAATTAACATATAAAATACTATTAATTAAATAATACTACTACTGCTACTACTATGTTATATACCATAAAAAATAATTAAAATACTATACTATATATTACCAAAAAAAAAAAAAAAATAAAAGTTAAAAATTAACATATATAATACTATTTATTAAATAATACTACTACTATGCTATATATCATAAAAAATAATAAAAATACTATACTATAT